TTTATTTGTTGCTTGTGTTGAAAAGTCTCGTGATGTTGTTTCTATTATGTGTGATAGTTCTTCTTGTTTTTATGATTCTGTCCTCGCATATACCTTCTTGTTTGCCTCAGAGTTACATATTCTCTTTTATTTGTTGCTTGTGTTGAAAAGTCTCGTGATGTTGTTTCTATTATGTGTGATAGTTCTTTGTTTTGTGATTCTGTCGGGCCAATTCCTAAGAAGGATGCTCCTCGCATATACCTTCTTGTTTGCCTCAGAGTTACATATTCTCTTTATTTGTTGCTTGTGTTGAAAAAGTCTCGTGATGTTGTTTCTATTATGTGTGATAGTTCTTTGTTTTGTGATTCTGTCGGGCCAATTCCTAAGAAGGATGCTCCTCGCATATACCTTCTTGTTTGCCTCAGAGTTACATATTCTCTTTTATTTGTTGCTTGTGTTGAAAAGTCTCGTGATGTTGTTTCTATTATGTGTGATAGTTCTTTGTTTTGCGATTCTGTCGGGCCAATTCCTAAGAAGGATGCTCCTCGCATATACCTTCTTGTTTGCCTCAGAGTTACATATTCTCTTTTATTTGTTGCTTGTGTTGAAAAGTCTCGTGATGTTGTTTCTATTATGTGTGATAGTTCTTTGTTTTGCGATTCTGTCGGGCCAATTCCTAAAGAAGGATGCTCCTCGCATATACCTTCTTGTTTGCCTCAGAGTTACATATTCTCTTTTTATTTGTTGCTTGTGTTGAAAAGTCTCGTGATGTTGTTTCTATTATGTGTGATAGTTCTTTGTTTTATGATTCTGTCGGGCCAATTCCTAAGAAGGATGCTCCTCGCATATACCTTCTTGTTTGCCTCAGAGTTACATATTCTCTTTATTTGTTGCTTGTGTTGAAAAGTCTCGTGATGTTGTTTCTATTATGTGTGATAGTTCTTTGTTTTGCGATTCTGTCGGGCCAATTCCTAAGAAGGATGCTCCTCGCATATACCTTCTTGTTTGCCTCAGAGTTACATATTCTCTTTTATTTGTTGCTTGTGTTGAAAAGTCTCGTGATGTTGTTTCTATTATGTGTGATAGTTCTTTGTTTTTGTGATTCTGTCGGGCCAATTCCTAAGAAGGATGCTCCTCGCATATACCTTCTTGTTTGCCTCAGAGTTACATATTCTCTTTATTTGTTGCTTGTGTTGAAAAGTCTCGTGATGTTGTTTCTATTATGTGTGATAGTTCTTTGTTTTGCGATTCTGTCGGGCCAATTCCTAAGAAGGATGCTCCTCGCATATACCTTCTTGTTTGCCTCAGAGTTACATATTCTCTTTTATTTGTTGCTTGTGTTGAAAAGTCTCGTGATGTTGTTTCTATTATGTGTGATAGTTCTTTGTTTTGCGATTCTGTCGGGCCAATTCCTAAGAAGGATGCTCCTCGCATATACCTTCTTGTTTTTGCCTCAGAGTTACATATTCTCTTTTATTTGTTGCTTGTGTTGAAAAGTCTCGTGATGTTGTTTCTATTATGTGTGATAGTTCTTTGTTTTGCGATTCTGTCGGGCCAATTCCTAAGAAGGATGCTCCTCGCATATACCTTCTTGTTTGCCTCAGAGTTACATATTCTCTTTTTTGTTTGTTGCTTGTGTTGAAAAGTCTCGTGATGTTGTTTCTATTATGTGTGATAGTTCTTTGTTTTGTGATTCTGTCGGGCCAATTCCTTTTTGCGAGAAGGATGCTCCTCGCATATACCTTCTTGTTTGCCTCAGAGTTACATATTCTCTTTTATTTGTTGCTTGTGTTGAAAAGTCTCGTGATGTTGTTTCTATTATGTGTGATAGTTCTTTGTTTTGCGATTCTGTCGGGCCAATTCCTAAGAAGGATGCTCCTCGCATATACCTTCTTGTTTGCCTCAGAGTTACATATTCTCTTTTATTTGTTGCTTGTGTTGAAAAGTCTCGTGATGTTGTTTCTATTATGTGTGATAGTTCTTTGTTTTGCGATTCTGTCGGGCCAATTCCTAAGAAGGATGCTCCTCGCATATACCTTCTTGTTTGCCTCAGATTACATATTCTCTTTTATTTGTTGCTTGTGTTGAAAAGTCTCGTGATGTTGTTTCTATTATGTGTGATAGTTCTTTGTTTTGCGATTCTGTCGGGCCAATTCCTAAGAAGGATGCTCCTCGCATATACCTTCTTGTTTGCCTCAGAGTTACATATTCTCTTTTATTTGTTGCTTGTGTTGAAAAAGTCTCGTGATGTTGTTTCTATTATGTGTGATAGTTCTTTGTTTTTTGATTCTGTCTTTTATTAATTTGTTTCTATTATGTGTGATAGTTCTTTGTTTTGAAGGATGCTCCTCGCATATACCTTCTTGTTTGCCTCAGAGTTACATATTCTCTTTTATTTGTTGCTTGTGTTGAAAAGTCTCGTGATGTTGTTTCTATTATGTGTGATAGTTCTTTGTTTTGTGATTCTGTCGGGCCAATTCCTAAGAAGGATGCTCCTCGCATATACCTTCTTGTTTGCCTCAGAGTTACATATTCTCTTTTATTTGTTGCTTGTGTTGAAAAGTCTCGTGATGTTGTTTCTATTATGTGTGATAGTTCTTTGTTTTGCGATTCTGTCGGGCCAATTCCTAAGAAGGATGCTCCTCGCATATACCTTCTTTGTTTGCCTCAGAGTTACATATTCTCTTTTATTTGTTGCTTGTGTTGAAAAGTCTCGTGATGTTGTTTCTATTATGTGTGATAGTTCTTTGTTTTGCGATTCTGTCGGGCCAATTCCTAAGAAGGATGCTCCTCGCATATACCTTCTTGTTTGCCTCAGAGTTACATATTCTCTTTTATTTGTTGCTTGTGTTGAAAAGTCTCGTGATGTTGTTTCTATTATGTGTTCTGATAGTTCTTTGTTTTCTTGTTTGCGATTCTGTCTTGGGCTCATGTTGTTTCTGTGATGTGTGATTTCTTTGTTTTGAAGATTCTGAAGGATGCTCCTCGCATATACCTTCTTGTTTGCCTCAGAGTTACATATTCTCTTTTTTATTTGTTGCTTGTGTTGAAAAGTCTCGTGATGTTGTTTCTATTATGTGTGATAGTTCTTTGTTTCTTCGGGCCATTCTGTCGGATGCTCCCAATAATTCCTAAGAAGGATGCTCTCGCATATACCTTCTTGTTTGCCTCAGAGTTACATATTCTCTTTTATTTGTTGCTTGTGTTGAAAAGTCTCGTGATGTTGTTTCTATTATGTGTGATAGTTCTTTGTTTTGCGATTCTGTCGGGCCAATTCCTAAGAAGGATGCTCCTCGCATATACCTTCTTGTTTGCCTCAGAGTTACATATTCTCTTTTATTTGTTGCTTGTGTTGAAAAGTCTCGTGATGTTGTTTCTATTATGTGTGATAGTTCTTTGTTTTGCGATTCTGTCGGGCCAATTCCTAAGAAGGATGCTCCTCGCATATACCTTCTTGTTTGCCTCAGAGTTACATATTCTCTTTTTATTTGTTGCTTGTGTTGAAAAGTCTCGTGATGTTGTTTCTATTATGTGTGATAGTTCTTTGTTTTGCGATTCTGTCGGGCCAATTCCTAAGAAGGATGCTCCTCGCATATACCTTCTTGTTTGCCTCAGAGTTACATATTCTCTTTTATTTGTTGCTTGTGTTGAAAAGTCTCGTGATGTTGTTTCTATTATGTGTGATAGTTCTTTGTTTTGCGATTCTGTCAGGCCAATTCCTAAGAAGGATGCTCCTCGCATATACCTTCTTGTTTGCCTCAGAGTTACATATTCTCTTTTATTTGTTGCTTGTGTTGAAAAGTCTCGTGATGTTGTTTCTATTATGTGTGATAGTTCTTTGTTTTGCGATTCTGTCGGGCCAATTCCTAAGAAGGATGCTCCTCGCATATACCTTCTTGTTTGCCTCAGAGTTACATATTCTCTTTTTATTTGTTGCTTGTGTTGAAAAGTCTCGTGATGTTGTTTCTATTATGTGTGATAGTTCTTTGTTTTGTGATTCTGTCGAGCTAATTCCTAAGAAAGATGCTCCTCGCATATACCTTCTTGTTTGCCTCAGAGTTACATATTCTCTTTTATTTGTTGCTTGTGTTGAAAGTACTCAAGTGAGGTTGTTTCTTATCTTTGTGTTAGTTCATTGTTTTGGGCTTCTGTCGAGCCAATTCCTAAGAAGGATGGTCCTCGCATATATCTTCATCTTTGCCTCAGAGTTACATATTCTCTCTATTTTATTTGTTGCTTGACTTGAAAGTGTTCAAGTGAAGATGTTTCTATTATTTTTGATAGTTCTTTCGGGCCAATTCCTAAGAAGGATGGTCCTCGCTGACATCTACATTTTTGTCTTTTACATATCACATTTTTTTTATTTGATGCTTGTTTTGTGTTGAAACTTGACTAATGCATGGAATAATAATGCAACACAAAATGTACTTAGAACAAAATGTATTGAAACAAGAAAGTGTACACAATATTTACATATAGTCTTTTGTATATTCCTGGGAAGACCGTTCCTGGAGAATGTGTTGACTGAGTCGTAGTCGGGCAGAGTCTCTGGTTGAATCTCTTGATTCCTCTCTCTCTTCCCGGTACCAACCATATTTATATGGTCGGTACTCCACTATGCAAATTAGGTGGATCCTACCACAACATTTTGAGAGTGCTGAAATGATGTTGTTTCTAGCATTTTTACTGTTCTTTCTTTTGTGATTCTTTCGGGCCAATTCCTAAAAAGGATCGTCCTTGCTGTGTTCTTCATTTTCCCTCAGCTTTACATATGCTGTCCATTTTATTTTTGCTTTTGTTGAAACTGTTTAAGTAATGTTGTTTATATTACTTGATAAGATAAATAAGACTGAATGAGGGAAGATAAGAAATTTCACAGAAAGTGTGTAACATATTAAAAATTGCTACGTAGGTCAGTCAATGGAACGGGTTAATTGAGTGCATTTCTTTGAATTAAAAATTCAAATATCATGTATTCATGAAATATAACATCAAGAATTTTTATCCATCCATATATAAGAATGAGCGGTTTGACACTTTCAAGTTTGCTAAGGACTTTATTGATATTTACCTGAATAGGTAGAGATAGTCTTGCATTGTCGTAAATCTGTGTTTTTACAACAATGGCGAGAGCATGGCTGAAGAAATCCAATATGGACGCATTTGATGACTCACAATGTTCGTTAGACGGTGTTGAGCTTTCAGGATAAAAGCTTCTGTATGTTTTTAATAATATCAATGAAATAGTCCACATAGACAACCAGGAATTGTTTAGGGATGACATGCTGACGATAACACCGGACAACTGAAAATTAAATGACAGAATTAGAAAACTGCCTATTTAAACACATGAATAACCTTGAATTTGAATCTGAGCTCGATATGAACAACAAAGTCGTCCAGTATTTGGATGTAGATTTAAATCTGCAAACCGGCAGCGTCTCACCTTACACAAAAACCAACACAAAATTGATGTATGTGAACACAGGATTCAACCACCTTGTGAGTGTAATAAGGTACATCCCTAAAGAAACAGGCTGCGGGCTAAACAGAAATTACTCCTGTAGAGTGATTTTTTATATATGAAAAGATATTAAAAGAGGAGAGGCATAAAACTAAAAAGAAGTATTATTTGCTTTAACCCCACCTCGTTTTAATTTAGAGGTGAAAATCTAGCATAGAGATATTTTTTTAAGTTATTCAAGATAAGCACTTCCCGAGAATTCCGAGGACCACAAGATTTTTAATAGAGATACAATAAAATTAAGTTATAGTTGTTGTATCAATTTAAGAACTGCAAAAAAAAAAAAATCAAAATCAAAACGCCTAGAACTTCAAGGACAGCATGCAGTAAATTATTGTTGACAGCAAGAAGTGTAACAGTAGAAATAAAAATAAATATCTAATGGATAGTGTGTGTAAACGGAAGGAGTTCACAAATCGGATGTGATGAATAGAAATGGCCAGAGCAAGATATATGGGGTGGGGGACTGAATGTACCTTCAAAAAGAAATGATACGGTCACAAGTCATCATTCAGAATTGAAAGACATAGGAATTGTTCCAGACTGGCCAACCATGTGTGGGAATTAAAAGAAAAAAAATAACATCGATAGTCCTAATTTAAGATGGGGCATACTGGCGAGAGAAAGCCATACAGTAATAGTAAAGATGTCTGCAGTCTGAACCAGAAAAAAAAATAGCAATACTAGTGTGTCCAGACCCCAAAAAGCTGTTAAATGAAAGTTCTAACGTTTTGTCGAGGTGTAGACACATTAAAAGGTATATTTTGTGTTTATACGAAACCCGGATGGAAGTAAACTTACTTTTTCTTCACTCTCCGTCTCACCCTATTTCACCCACTCTTGACTCGCCGCTCCCATCTGTCACACTGCCTATTGTGCACACATTAAATAAACAAATAAAGTGTTTGGAAGATTAACAAGCATCTACCGCCTGACGAGGCCACAATGGTTGAAACCATGGTAGCGGGTGCGTAAGTGACTAATTTCCCTATTTTTCTTTAATATTTAATTTTAAAAACGATGCAAGTTCTTTTTTTTTTGAATCGTGCATAGAGCACTTTTTAATATAACCGTTCCCTTGTCAGACTCAGTTCTGACCAACAACTGTTTATATATATATATATATATATATATATATATATATATATATATATATATAGACCCATTGAAAGGGTGTAAACGGTTTCTATCTTTTTCTCAAATTAGGTCATTTGCAGTAGTGTGCAGTAATATGAATATATTTTCGGCTGTATGATGAAATTTGTTTGGCATTGAAAAATATTACGTCATCCTGATCGCATCAGATTTTTTATCATACACGGCACTACTGTCTCGACTGTTGATTAGTTGTCCTATGGCCATCGCCTGCGATGGAAATTACTCCAAGGAAGCTTACAAAAATGGTAACGCTGCACAAACAGACTGGCAAGCCTTATCAGTGAGCAAATCAAAGTACTATAGACGGGCCCGGAAATTCTCCTGATTTAAAAATACGGAAATTGTAACTCTGCAGGAACACACTGGCAAGCCTTACCATTAAGCAAATCAAAGTACTATAGACTGGCACGGAAACTCTCCTGATTTAAATCCAATCGAAAATCTGTGATCAATCTGCAAGGAACAACTTCGTGGAATGGACATGTTTCATTGGAAAAATACAAAAAAAGTAAATAATAACGTAATCATTTGTTTTGTTTCAATTTTATGGCAAAAGGTTATAGGATTAATCTGAGTAAAAGGTTGTCACTTACTGATTTAACCTTCCGCATCTCGACTCCAGAGTTTCGTAGGCGGACCAGTCCGTCCACTCTTCAGGGGATATCAGCAATTTACCCACTGAAGAGTCAACGGTACAATCTTTAGCGTCATTGTTTCAAATATTTATACATGGGATCAGCTGTCTAAAGTCGTCAACCACAAACTATAAATGCGTATATAGGGGAAAAGTTGAAATGCAGTATTCCGAGTTAAATGGATTTGGTTCAGTTTATTTTGTTTAACGGCATATGAACCTCATGCCGACAAGATTTTTAGGATAGGTTCGTATGAATAGGTATATTCTTTGTAAGGGTTTTATTGGCGTATTTTTGTAAATTGGGTTTTTGTCGAGAGTCAAATGCATTTCTGGTAATATTTTTTTTCAAAAATATTTTACTAGTATTTTTGCAATAAAAATCTACTATTATATTTTCATATTGTTTTGACAGCCGCAAACGAGAAAGGCGATAGAAAATGTTAGCATAAATCTTATGGTTACATCTTGCAATTTCCCCTATAAAATGATGAGACATTGCCGCCAATCTAGAAGTGCGCTTAAATTCATAAAGTCTAGGAACCATGTGGGAACGTCTATTAGAACAATTTCCATGAAAGCCGAGATTCCAGCTCAAGACCAATGGCATTGCAGATTCTTCTTTTTATTTTATAAAGAATCTCTAAATATATAGCAGAAAGACGAGACCAGATGTGGCAGCAATATTCAAATCAAAGAAGAATGGTAGACTTAAAAAAAAATAAAATAGATTCTTCTTTGGATTTTATCAAGAATCTCTAAATATATAGCAGAAGCACCAGACCAGATGTGGCAGCAATATTCAAAGCAAGGATGAATGGTAGACTTATAAATATGTAAGATAGATTCTTCTTTGGATTTTATCAAGAATCTCTAAATATATAGCAGAAGCACCAAACCAGATGTGGCAGCAATATTCAAAGCAAGGATGAATGGTAGACTTATAAATATGTAAGATAGATTCTTCTTTGGATTTTATCAAGAATCTCTAAATATATAGCAGGAGCACAAGACCAGATGTGGCAGCAATATTCAAAGCAAGGATGAATGGTAGGCTTATAAATATGTAAGATAGATTCTTCTTTGGATTTTATCAAGAATCTCTAAATATATAACAGAAGCACCAGACCAGATGAGGCAGCAATATTCAAAGCAAGAATGAATGGTAGACTTATAAATATGTAAGATAGATTCTTCTTTGGATTTTATCAAGAATCTCTAAATATATAACAGAAGCATATCTCTCTCTCTCTCTCTCTCTTTCTCTCTCTCTCTCTCTCTCTCTCTCTCTCTCTCTCTGTATATATTCGTTTTTTAGCAGAAGCTTGGATGAATTGTACCTCATTGGGTACTGCATGTTCTTGGGTTCCTAAATCAAACGTTTCTAGACCGATGGATTGGAAGGAATGGCCCACTTCCATGGACACATCGTTCATCAGATATCCTTCCCCTGGATTTCTTTCGATAGGGTCATATTAAAGATATCGTGTATCGAACGAGATCTAAAACAAAAGATCACTGATGCCATTGTCATGATTGATGTTACAGCGAACATGGCAAGTAATTAAGTACCGTCTTGATATATTTCGTGTAACTAATGGTGTGTGCCCATATAAAGATCTATTAAATTAGTTAAGAAACTTAATTATCTACTGCTCATTTTGTAACAATTTCCACATATTTGTCTGTTTATTTCCTTTTGTAATAATTGTTTTAAATTGTAAGGTGACTTTATGGACAACCTGTATATTATTATTATTATTATTTTTATTTTCTTTGATTTCTGGCGTTTACACATTTCTTTCCGGGTCCCGCCCAGGGACCTAAGGTTAGAAATGGCGTCATGACACTTTCCACTGACAAAAAAAAAATAAAAAAATAAAAAATTAAATTACATAGATAAAGCCCTTCGTAAGGTGTGGGCTGTACTTGTCAGAACAATTTTTTGTATCTTCTTGAGGCATGGGCTTCCAGGAATCCCTTCAATTCGTCTACTGCAATCTTTTCCAACCAGTCCTAGGGCTCCAACTACAACAGGGATTGTTGATGTTCCCATATGCCACATTTTCGAGATTTCTATTTCAAAGTCCTTGTACTTTGACAACTTTTTGAATATCTTCAAAGATACATTGCAGTCAGCAGGGACTGCCATATCAATAAGGAGGCATCGTTTTTGTTTGTGATATTTAATAACAATATCTGGCCGGTTGGCCTTGATTGTTCTGTCAGTGTGTATTGTGTAGTCCCATAGAATTGTAACAGGTCCTATCTCCGTAACCGGGTCTGGGTGGTGTTCATACCAGTTTCTTTCAGTTTCCTTCCCGTAGAAGTTGCAGATTTTCTAGTGTAGATATTTGCCAATTCTGTAATGCCGGGTTTTATATTCAGTGGGTGCTAATACCGTGCAACTTGATACAAGATGATCAATCGTTTCTGGATATTATTATTATTATTATTATTATTTTCTTTGATTTCTGGCGTTTACACATTTCTTTCCGGGTCCCGCCCAGGGACCTAAGGATAGAAACGGCATCATGACACTTTCCACTGACAAATATAAAATAAAATAAAATTTATTATTATTATTATTATTATTATTTGTGTGTTATGTGCCCTCTCCTTCGTATCGTGAAAAGCCAGGTCGAAAATATGGTCTTTGGACCCTATAAGAGAACTGTCATTTAATTGATAGTCCTTTTTGTAGTATATGGGATGTTCCTAGTAGGGAGATTTTCTGGGCAACTTGTATATTGATGTTATCTGGGACACTTAGCAAAACTGTCCATTACTTTCATTACTTTAATTTTGTGATACATTTTTACGATGATATTTTAACATTTTTTTCCTTTTTAAAGGACTTTTGATTTCCAAGGTGTCCATAAAGTCTCTTTACAATTTTAAGTAAATATATTATGAAGTCAATCGATGAAATAGCTTTAATCAAATTTGTTCTGTGTACTCAGTAGTTTTCAAAGTTTTTAATCCCATTGCATTTGTGTATTTCAGGCATCCTGTTGGCGAAAGGGGTACTCTGTTAAATGAACCCTTAAAAATGGTTAATCCACAAGGAAAGGAACAAGGTAGGTCATGGTTTATTGAAAAGAAATCTGATATTCAGGCTCAGCGAAACTACAGAACTTCTTTCTATGGGGTTATGTTAAAATTATCGTGTATCGAACAAAGATACGGAACATGACTGATCTAAAGCAAAGGATCACTGATACCATTGCCACCGTTTGCAAGGTTATGCTACAGAGAACATGGCAAGAAATCGAGAAGCGTCTTGATGTTCTTCGTGCAACTAATGGTACCCACATAGAGGTGCATTAAATTAGGTAAAACAAAAAAATAAAAACTTTATCTACTCCTTATTTTGTCATGATTTCGAAATATTTTTTTGTATTTTTTTAGTATGATATTTTTAACGTTATTTTTTTTTTTTAGATACAAGTATTTAAGTAAATGCTCTGTTTATGATAAACAGTATTAAATAAAATTCAGGCCGGTAAATGTTATTTAATACTGTTTATCATAAACAGAGCATTTACTTAAATACTTGTATCTATAAAAAAAAAAAAAAAAAAACGTTAAACATAAAATGTCTTTTAATATATATATATATATATATATATATATATATATATATATATATATATATATATATTAAAAAGGCAATTGATGAGATATCTTAATCAGTTTTGTTTTATGTACTCAGTAGTTATCAAGGTTTATAATCACATTGCATTTGTGTATTTCAAGTATCCTATTGATGAAAGTGGTACTTTTAAATGTATGCTCTAACATTTCCATACCATTGGATCGGAAGGGATAGCCCAATTCCCTGGCAACTTCGTTCACCAGATGTCACTTCCCTGGATTTCTTTCTATGGAGTTATGATAAAGATATCGTATATCGAACAAAGATACGGGACATCACTGATCTGAAACAAAAGATCACTGATCTAATTGCTACCATTCATGAGGTTATGATACAGTGAACAGGGCCAGAGTACCTTCTTGATGTGCTTCATACTAATAATGGTGACCATATAGAGGGGTATTGAATTAGTTAAAAAAAAAACAAACAAACTTAATTATCTACTGCTCATTTTGTAGCGATTCCCACATATTTGTCTGTTCATTTCCTTTTGTAATAATTGTTTTAAATTGTAAGGTGACTGTATGGACAACCTGTATATTATTATTATTATTATTATTATTATTATTATTATTATTATTATTATTTCCTTTGATTTCTGTTGTATACACATTTCCTTCCGGATCCCAACAAGAGACCTAAGTTCAGAATGGCTTCATGACATTTTCCATTGATCGTTTTTAAACATAAGATCAAACACTTTAAACAGAGAAAGCCCTTCGTAAGCTGTGAGCTGTATTTTTGTATTTCTTTAAGGCATAGGTTAACATTATTATTATTATTATTATTATTATTATTATTATTTGCTTGGGTTTCTGTTGCATACATATTTACTTCCGGATCCCAACCAGAGACCTAAAGATACATTACAATCTGCAGGGACTATGTCAATAAGAATGCACACTGTTTTCTTGTGGGAAATTTGTTTCATTATTCTTATTCTTATTATTATTATGATGATGATGATTTGCTTGGGTTTCTGTTGAGTACACATTTTTCTTCCGGGTCCCAGCCGGAGACCTAAGCTCAGAAATGGCTTCATGACATTTTCCATTGAACGTTTTTAAACATATAACACACAGTTTACATAGATAAAGCCCTTCGTAAGGAGTGAGCTGTAATTTTGTATTACTTTAAGGGATGGTTTACAATTATTTTTATAATTATTTATGTGATATGTGTCCTCCTTTGTATCGTGAAAAGCCGGGTTGAAACTATGGTCTTTGGACCCTATATGAGAACTGTTATTTAATTGATAGCCCTTTTCTTAGTATATGGGATATTCCTAGTAGGGCGATCTTCAGGGCAACTTGTATGTTGATGTTACCTGGGACACTTAGTAAAATTGTCCATTCCTTTTCTCACGAGGCCCAGAGCTCCGATTTCTAGTGGTAGAGCCTCAGTCTTCATCCACCACATCTTGTCAATCTCCATCTCCAGGCCCTTCCTTTTGGACGATAATTTTCATGGAGGTGTTTCTCTCAGATGGTACTGCTATGTCAATAAGCATAGTCTTCCTGAATTTCTTGTCTTTTATGATAATATCAGGTCTGTTGGTTTTTATTTCCCTGTTATTTTGAATTGTCATGTTTCAGTAGATAGTTACATCTTTATTTTGGGTAACTGTGTTTGGTGGCCATGCCATCTCTCAGTGGCTGCGATTTTGTTCTTCTTGCATGTTACCCCTATGTCGCTACCAGGTTATATCTGTGGGTATATTCATTTTTTGCCAGTTCCAGACATCTTGAAATAGTTTGGCTGATAGTTTCATCATATTTTCGGTAGATCCTCCATTTTGGTTTAGTTCCATCCTTAATTATTTGACAGTGATAGGATCTGGTTGCGAGGCTTTGGTCCTGAACTGCAATAAATAAGTCTTTTTCTCAGCTTTTAACCCAGTGCTCCTCAGTCACTAATGTGTTTTCTGTTGGTCCACATCTGCGTCTTTTATTCTTTTTATATATTTGCCATTTTCCTCACATTTTTTTTTGTAATTTCATTTGGCTATGTTGCTTTGCTACTTTACTCGTTTGGCATAGATGCTATTCGCTTCGTTTTTTTGTTGGTAGGATTTCAGATATATTAAACTGATTCTTGAAAAGTGAAACTTCTTTGTTGGTGAATGGGATTTGGTATTTTCCTATTTGTAGGGAAGCGTCATTGGTTTTTGATAAGGCAGCCTTCCAATCCGATTGTTGTTGTTGTTTTAAATTAGATTCAAGTTGGATTAGACTTCGAACTCCTAAAGCTCTTGGTACACAGAACCTATCAACATTAGATTTCGAGTGGTAAGCATTTTTCTGTCTTGGTGTCCAATCTTTTAATGTCATTCAATTTCCATTTAATAACGTTGAAGCTGTATGTTACTACGTGTATAGCTAAGGTGTCGATAGTATTCATTATATCGGCAACATTAAGTTCGCTTTCTAGTATCAAACGCACTCTTGTATAATATTCTTTTCAGATCTTTTTTTTTTTCATAGTTGAATGTTGTATTCTGTCTCCTTCATTACTTCCTAAGTATTTACATGTACTATCTTGGGCTACTTCCTTAATCTTGTTGTTGATATCAAAGTCTAAATCCGTAGTTTTCGTTAGCTTACCGCCTTTGAAGGTGGCTTTGGCACATTTTTCGATTCCGAACTCTACCCTAATATTTTCGCTAATATTTGAAGATCTTGTTTTGCCAGAAGAGTCTGTTCAATTT